ATGACTTTTTGCATTCAATTACTGTCGAAAACTTTTGACATCGAAATAAAAATGAATGGGCCCTCTTCTTCTTCGTTGCCTTTTTTGATTGAACTTTAGCCTGGTTTGTAACTAAAATATTTGCAATTAAAATTCAAATAAAGCGCAACTTGATTTGCAAACACACCGAAAATCTCACAAATCACAAATTGGTCGACTTTTCGTAGTGTGTTTGAATTTTCAAAAGCTTTTACTAATGATCTGACCCAATTTGACATTCATTGTTTGAAAAGATTGCCACTTCATTAAAGATGAATCGAAATACTGTTCAAATGATGTTCGTATTTTGTTGTAACGACAGCCCGACAAAAAATGAGACTGACACACAGACAGAATGAGAGAAAGAGAAAAATAAAACGAAAGGAGACAGCGAAGAATTAAAGCTAACAGGGAGAGAGAAGGGAGACAGAGAAAGAGAAGAAGAAAAGAGCATAGGGGAGAGATGAATTTCACTGGCTTAAAATATTAGCCGTTCGTCGTGTGAATTCATTTCAAGTTTCGGCATGGTGCTGTTGATTTATGACTGTCTCTGCTTGTGATTAATATAAACTGGAAAATCTCGCGCACTTTAGGGCTTTTCTTTTATTTTGAATCTACAGGGCCGACAAACGTTTTGCTTTGTGAATCGCCCAAAATGTTTTGCCATCAAATTTCAAATTAAATACATATTTTTTCGTACGAATTACGAATTCCAGACTTTCTGACACTCTCTACATCTATACTTCAGTATTCACTCTCTTTCTTTCTCTCTCTCTCTCTCTCTCTCTCTCTCTCTCAATTTATCTATCTTGCGAGTTTATTAGAGTCAGTGGTGCAACAACCAACAATCCAATCAAATCCAACACAAATCAACTTAAATAAAAGGATCAATTTTTTGGTTCGTTGTCTCTATTTTGACTTTCCAATCTTTTCTGCGTGTCTGCGGATTCATTGTGCAGATATTCTAGCTTACTTAGATGTATTCGAGTATTTTTTTTTTGTTTTTTTTTTGCTGTTGGTGTCAAAAAATGTTTCGTCTTTCGTTTTCTGTTACAATCATTCATTTGATATGATTTTCAGAGCAACAACGACAAACAAAATTCGAATATACAGCTTCCTTTCTCCCCCAAAAAAAACCGAACAATACAATGTACATGTGTGCTGTTCATCCAAAAAGCATGAACAAATGAGTTTTGTAACTTTGTGACAAGCATTCACTTCATTGACGCGACATCGAAATCGATTTCAACACAAATGCTAAATCAAATAATTTAAATGCATAAAATGGCGTGAGCGTGTAAGTACGCAAATCAAAAGTGCGAGAAAATGTAATATAGTCAATACATATATACACATTATTTTAATTTATTTATATGTGATTATGTGTTTGATGGGTGTAAGTGTGCACAGCACATCCATTTGATGAGAGTGGCATCGCAATCATCGAGAGCGACAATTTGTTTTGTCATTGGATCATGACCTCCATTTATAGAGATCAGCACGTGGCCGCTATTCAGACTTCGAGTGGCGTCGAAATGAAAAGAGTAAAATTGCAGCAGAAAAAAATGTTAATCTTAATTTATGTTAAAGGTTTTTCACAATCAAAAACACACTTTGCAAATGACATACACGGCACATATTAACAGTCATGCCAAATGTATAAATTGCCAAAATTTACATATGACAGTGAATTGCTTTTCTTCTCTTCTATTTTGTTTGTTTCAGCCCGAATTGGTTGGTTGAATCAACCACTCTGGATTTTGTAGTAAGCTCTTCGAGTAGAGGTTTCATTGAAAATATACATGTTTATTGATAATTCGGCGCTTTTTTCATTGCGCATTGTTACTTTTATAAAATGATGGGGCCATTATCGTTTGGATTTATCTAGTCTAGACCATCAATACTAAATCGATGGAGCTGGTGGCCCACGTTGTAAATGCAAACAAACAAAGCATCAAACAATTGTTACCAATGTGGTAAAACCAGCTTATGGAAGCTCAGTGCTATTCATAGTGAAATGTATTCCTTTCTACTCGTTCGCGCGCGCGCACACACACACACAAACCAATGGAATGTAAATTAAGTGTTTCGAAATTTTAAATTTTTTACTATCGTATGGCGGCTGAAATGTTTACAGAATCCTTGAATATTAAAAGCCGTTTGCTTTCTTGTTGGTTTTTTTTTCATTTAAATTATAAATGCTGATCGTGTTGCCATTTAAAAAAGAGGAAAGAAAATGAAATCGACAAAATACAGACAGCACTTACTTTGTGCAATGAAACCATTTGCTGATATCATATATCCAATGCAATATACTACTCGACAGAAAATCGACGGCAAATTAAAAAAAAAAAGAGAATAGCAGCAATAACAACGACGACGTAAACTACGCAACAAGCGGATATTTATATTGTTGTGTATTTTATCTTTGAACAGAAGAATCATTTTTCTAATAAAAATCATCGGCATTATTACGTGCGCAAAGACATTTCGCTTTTGATTATAAATTCCTTCTCTCTTCTTTGTTCTTCTCTCACTGTGCACTGTCCTTCTCTACAAGTCCATACTTGTCAATGATAATAATTTTTGCTGTGTTGATGTTCTACTATGTTCTGTTTTTTTTTTCTGTTTTTTCTCCAATGAAAAATGTCTAACGAAAAATAAAAAAATTCGTTGGAAAAAAACCATATCATCTTGGCTTGTCTCAAGAATTTGTTTCCTTTAAAAAAAAAAAAAAAAAAAAACACAGTAAACGAACAAATAGCCAAAAAATAAATTGAGCAGTTTTCATTCGGGAATACTTCGAGGCTAATTCGATACACATATTTATACATATTTTATTGAATACACGTACTGAAATATAAAGCCAATGTGCTGCGCTTTTATCGTCATTCGCGAATATTTCGTCCGTGATTCAGAAGAAAGAGAGAATGAGAGAGAGAGAGAGAAGTGCACAAAACAATAAACGAATAGCTCGATGCGAGAATTTAATGGGTTTCCGCTATCCGCCATTCCGATAAATCTCATCGTCGATGAATCTTATTTTTATTACACATTCACCGAACGGGAGAGCGAAAAACGAAGAAGAAAGAAGCACATTTTTGTGATTATTCGATTTTATATTCCATACAGATTTTTCTACTCGAAATAATGTTTTGTCTGCGTTTGTGGGCTTAAAAAGAGCGAGAATGTTTAAATTTCCAATTTTCTCATTACAAAATTGAATGCCGCTCTCTGAATTTCCCACATAGAATACAATCACCAAAGAAACGGAAAATATTAAAGTCGGACAAAAGACAAGTCAAATGGAATGTTCATATTTATTTAATTTATGGATTCGAACAACACAAAAGTATTTCAACCATTATGTTAATTGTTGTGTTGCTGTTTGCACCGTACGGTAGATTTATTTGGAGGAGATTTCAATTTGAAATGTGTCGTTTTTTATTTTGCCATTCACATTTCATTTTTCGAGTTGTTTGCATGCCTAATACCCAAAAAAGACACCGTTTTTTGGCCAAAAGTCGACCGACATTTTTCATTGTACATATAGTGTAGAAAAATTAATGCTTGACGCCCAATGACTGTACCACATTGATAAATGGCAAATTTGATCTTCGAGAGTTAAGACGAATCCCAAACAAAACGGAGCAACGCGCTAATAACAAATACCATGAAACAACAGCCAAATAAAAAGAAAAAGTTTAATAAAATGAACGAAAAGATTAACAACGTGAAACGAATCAAAACCAGCACCAGTGTTGCGTGCTAAAAGCATCCCGACAGCGAGCAAAGGAGACGTGGCCGAACGAAAAAACAACGAAACAAACAAAAAAAAAACGAGTAAGATGACCAAATATACGGATGCAGACTCAGCGGGCCATTTTGAATGTATCACATACCCATAAACTGATCGAAACAACAACGATGATAGCAGCGATGTGCGCTGATGATTGAAATGAAAATCACAGAACTGTTTCACCGAAAAATGAATAGAAAAAAAAATTAGACAAATAATTGAGGCATCACATGGTGTCTGAAATCAAAACGGATTGCCATTCGCTTGATATGCACAGCAGTTGTAATTGAAAACAGCCTAATTTTGGGATAAAATAGAGAAAGAATCAACATAATTAGATAATCGCACACGTTTCGTTGATATGATCTTGAATTTCAGGTTAACATAAACGAAACAGATGTTCGATGTTCTTTTTTTGTGTCGGGTAGCACATTTTTCATTTTCTTTTGTTTCTTCGTGGCAAACTTCCGTTTTCTGCAAACTTTTCACAATTATATTATTTCGTTTTGCCAAATTAGCTGTCGTTGCTGAATTTTCATATTCAATTTCTTTGCTTGCACTGATTTCTTTTTCGCATCGCCAAATTCTTATTTCACATTTTCAACAACAACAACAACCAAGATCAATATGTAGGAGCAGAAGTGGTAAAAGGTGCAGCAATAGCAACTAGCTTTTTGATTACATCAGGAAAGCTGATAACTTATTTATATATAATACGAATCGTTTGTGAAACCAATTTAAATAATGAAAACAAACAAAACTAAAAGAGAAACAAAAAAAAAAATACGAGAACGTAAATATAATTTTTGCTCATTAAATTTGTTTCGAAGAAACATTTTGACCATGGATATTTCTCGGAATTATCATTGAATTTTGACCGAATAATGATTTTTCGACTTTCATCTATCATGTAAAAACAGCAGTTTCATTATTACTGCCTATCCCATAAACAAAATTGAAGGACTCATTGAAATTCCGTGATGATATTTCACTTACTGTTTATATGTGTGTGTGTGTGTGTGTGGAAAATTCACTGTGAAAAATGTTTACTTGTATATTATACATCGAATTCCACATAAAATTCTCATTTTGATCATCAAAGAAATGAAAATAAAATAACAACAACAAAAAAAATCGGAAACCAGATATTTCCACTTGAGAGTAATTGCGTTTTTGGATTTACCTTTTTTATTGTTTGAGTGGGTGAATTAAATGGATTAGAGGTGGTTTTATACACGAGAGGAAGATTTATGTCTGTTACAGAGTGAAAAACACAGAAAGTTCACTCACTCGCTCGGTCGAATTGATTTTGTCTAATTAATCGAACAACAACATTTATGTTGCAATAACATAAAAAACACGGTTGGCTGGAAAATTTGTTCGGATCAAAATGTACTCGCATTCGTCTTCCCACGAACGTTGATAAAACACTTCTTACCAATTATAAAATGATATTTAAAACTTTCCGTGTACGAGTCACTATTTGTTTGTAAGAATGTAATTTTCTTTTGATGTTGTCAGACGTTTTTTGAAGGTCGTACGCACATTGATTCAAAAATTTGATTATTTTTTATTTATTATAAGTTCAAACCAGCCAAAAAAACTAAAAAGCTTTGTTGTGTGTGTGTAATTTTTCGATTTAGTTTTGAAATGCGGTGAAAACTTTGTGTTTGCTATTATTGTGTTTGATTGGTTTATCTTTATTTCTTTTCTCCTTTTTATTTATTTTATTTTTCTCTTTTCGGTGGCACACAGCCAGTCATCACACATATACACACACTTCGATTGAAACTTTCTTCTTCGGTTGGTTTGTCTCTAATCTAGTGCTAGTTGATGTTTTCTTCCTTTTTTGTTTGTTTGTTTACGATTGATAACAGCGCCAATGTACAATTTTTTTCTATTAACAAGCTCTTTTGTCTACGAAAATCACTTCTTCACATACACTTGAATACACTATGATGCCACCACACAAAAACTGGAGGAAGAATAAAAGTGAAAAAAAAAAAAAATCCGTAAACAAATAACAATTTTCAATTTGGGCTATTTAACACTTTATAATGAAACGGACATTGCACGGAAACAATTTATTATTTCCAACGGTTGAAAAAGTCTTCTCGAACTGAGAGTCTCTGTTTGTGCAAAAAAAGAGAAAGATTCAATACGCAAATGAAATGATGTCAAGCTTGAGTGAATCGGTTTTTAAACGTGCTTCAATTAAACACGAGCACACGCAAAGGTCCTTTCTTTTTTTCGGTATTAATTGGCGACTGATAACAAAAACAAAACCGAAATACAGCTGGCTTACGAATAACGGTATTTTTCTAATTTAAAATGATTCTTCTTTTCCGAATGGTGCCTTTTTGTCCTTTAATTTGAAGACTGGCTTGTGTTTTACACTATATATTGGACTACCGTTCACTTATTGGATGGTGTACTTATTGTTTTTCGTATTTCTTATTAAAATGTATATTATATTATGATTTTTATCGTTTTCTTCGCATCTCTTTCTATTGCGGTTTGTCTGTGTTTAGATACAGTGGTTGTTGTGTTGATTTCAAATATTGACGTTGTATGTCGAATAATCGCGGTTAACTGAATTCGCTGGTTGTTATGAGGATCCAAAAAATTTCGAAAATATTTTAATATAATGAATAGATTGAATGTACGTCAATATCGTGCGAATGCTCCCGGTATACTAAAAGTAACGGTCGTTTGTTGTACGATGCGATGTGTCAAGCCCAATACTCGTGAGCATAGATGTGAAAAACCGACACATTTTCACCATAAAGCATACGATAAAAACGGATACACACAGCTAGTGAGAAAAATAGAAGTCGCGTGTATGTACACATACACAATGTTGGGAATCGCTCTGTACTCACTCGCATACACACTCACCATGAACAAATTGTCTATTCAATGTAGCTCTTGCCGACAAACAGAGCGATTTTCCATCTTTTCACATCAACGGCACACATCCAAGTGGAGCAAAAGAGACATAAAACGCATACAGCTATTTTAGTCTAGCATCTATCCGATGTGAATAAAAGCGTCCTCCGTTTTATACAACATAGAGAACTAACATACTCTCGCTCACTTTATGTGTATATTATTACCGTCAACAGAAAGTGTGATATCAGTTGATTTCGGATTGCTTCCATTCTGATATCAATGTAAAGTGAGATTCGGAAAATTCGTTGACCGTCAAGGGAAACCGAGAGCATGGCAAAAAGAAAGAGAGAGAGAGAGAGAGAGAATGAGTTGTTGTATGCAACCAAATGAGAATTAATCACATTTTTTCTATTTCAAGCGACATTGTTTGATCGTACCTAATTCGAAAAACAAGTGCCAAATTCAATAAGATCCTTGAGGTATTTTCACGGTCCGTAAAAGCCGCACTGACAAACTTTCGTCAATCCCCGGGTTAATTGATGATTTATCTAAAAAAATTAAATCAATTTTCCCATCGTTTATTTTTACTTGCCATATGTTTTAAAGATACCAGCAACTGGGCGCGTCCGTTCGTCACCAAAGAGTATATACGTTTCGATTTTTTTTTTTTCAAATGTCAGATAATTTGTTTATTTTCGGAAATGTGGTAAAAAAAGTTTCGTTATCGATTTAGGTTTAAATTTATCCAACGTCGTATCAATCACAGTTCATTTATAGTATCAAAATCGTTGGCTGAATGAGCCGCTTGAAATATGAATAGAGAGGGAGAAGTGGTATTAAACAAGTTCATCACTTTCAAGTTTAGAAATAGACAATGAAACCGAGAAGAGAAAAAGAGCAAGAAAAACATGAAAATCAATTAGTAGCGAAAAAAATAATTGTGAAAAGCAAATTATTGCAGATTTCTTTGTTCCATATTTTAATGCGCTCAAAAGATTTTATTTAAATTCTTGCATATTCCAGTTCAATAATCGTCAAAGTTTTCGATAGATTTTGGATGGTTTTTACATTGTCCGCAACCATATACTTTCGCAAAATAATAATGTCTCTATGAAATGATGTGTAAAAACTTGTCAATATGATTGTGTCAAAATGTGTGCATCTACTGGAAAATTATGTGGCATGGCTTAGAAAGACGCATTGTTATCGGTTATTGATTTAACGTTTAACGAACGTTCCGAATTTTCATTCGATGTGATTTTTATTATGCTTACATGCGATCCAACCACAGCAACAGGTAGCTCTAAGCTCTATATATACACTTACACTCTATCTGTGTGTTCTCTCCCACATCACATCGCATCATCTTTCAATGTATGCAATAATATTCAGCAGTCACTGTTTGCAAACAGGATTTAAACTTTTGCAACGCAAGAATAATTTATCAATCGTTCTTTTTATCATTTTGTACTGTCATACGATCTTTGGGCTAACAGTATTTCGTTTCGGTTTTTTATTCTCTTTTGTTACGCAAAAACATTCCAAATTTATAAGTTAAAAAAGGTGTAATCCTATTCTATTATTTTCGGCATCTTAACTTAGTGCATGCACTTTAAAGCAACTTAAATTTTCCCAATCTCTTTACTCAACGGTGTCGTAAGATATGGAAAAGAAACACGTAATTATTTTTACATTCCAGAATACTTCGCTTTATTCCGAGAAAAACATAATGAAAACATAAAATCGTTTTTTTTACACGTTTTGTACTTGTTTGAAACAATTTGAAATAATTTTATGTTCGATTTGATTTGCTTTTTCTATTATTATTTTATGAAAAACTCGTTATAAAATGTAAATGCATTTTTATTAATGCGAACAAAAACTGTTATGTAAATGAATATTATTAATTAGAAATAAATAAAAAAAAATTTCGACACAATTGGTTTATTTCAATTATTGCATAAAAATTAAAAGCAAATTAAAAGTGTTAAAAATGACGATATTTTCAATTGAATGAAGGGGAACAAACTAATCATTGCTTATCATCATTTTAACGTATTCACTAAATTTGAACCGGCGTTTAAAATTATTTTCGATAGAAACGAAAATCAAAAATTGTTACAATTGGAGGTCTAATTTATTTTCAATCCAGATGAAGAAAAATTCGAAGCATTCTCGTTATTTCATAAATATAATCTCCAAAATCAGAATATCAATATTTCTTCAGTCATTTGCAATGCATGCTGACCACAAGCAAAGTTTCATCAATCTGTCACTTACATCTAGTTACAAATCATAATGCTATTGTTTAGTGCTGGTAAGTTTCACCAAATTGTTTGCTATTTCCTTTTGCCTCTGCATGTTAAATAATGATATAAATGTTAATACGGTGTGTGTGTATGTGTATGGATGCGAGCGTTACTAATGTGGATCCATTTCAATTTGGATCACGTTCCATTCGGGGTCGTTTTGTTCGTGCATTTTCTCCAGTATTTTCGTTGGTGTGTTCTCGTTTTTTCACCGGAGCCTGGAAAATTGACAGAATTGAATAATTGATAAACAAACACCAAATATATCCGATGTCACTTAAGACGCAATTCGGTTTTTTGCGTTTTTTTTTTTTTTGATTGATTCTATGTTACCTTTTTGTCCCATTGTTGATGCAAATATCTTAGTAAAATATTTTTCTTTTCTGTTACAATAACTGCAATATTCGAATTAAAAAAAGCATATCAATAATTTTTTGATGTCATGGCATTTTCTTTTGACAACACACATTAAAATGTTCGCAATGTAAATTAATGCACGTGTTATATACACTCGAATTACTTACTCTGTTCTGATGGAATATCTACGGTTGGTAAATATACTGATGGTCGTCGTGATGATGTTCGAATGCCATTTTCTGTGTTGAATAGTGCAAAGTTTTTCTCATTATGACTCGGAAGATTCTTTAGAAATTCACTGATTGACTGCAATTATCCCAATGGGAAATTAAAACGAAACGAAAAAAAATGAAACAAATGATTTCAATTTGACTTGGCAACAAATAAAATATAGTTTCTTAAACCGAATAAATCATATTTTGTATATGAATTGGATACAAATGATTGTGTTATACGGCTGTAGTGAATGAAAGAGTTTAATTTCAATGTCAATCGATTTCGGAGGATGAAATCAAAAAGCACATTTTTTCCAGCCATTCAACTTAAAAATTTACACTCACCATTTTGAATATGTGTGTATTCCTGTTTGTTTCGCTATGAGTATATGCCGTGATACAACTCGATGAAAATTTCATAGAAAAATTTAATAAAAATAAATAAATCGTTTTATGTCACGATTCGCCAATACTCTTTTTTTGTTATTTCTTCGTTTTCTTCTTGTCTTCACTTCTCCTTTCTGTTTGACTTTTATCACTATAGAATTGTGTCTTTTTATATAGACAGTTCGTCATACACAATGATGACATACAGTGTCAAGAGTTTTGGTGAAAACAATGAAAACAAATTTGAAAGTCTAAAAATGAAAAGACAAAAGAAATACTCATATGGAACGACAGATGGCGTTTGGTTTTACAGAGGAGTTTTTTTTATATTGACATGAACATTTTTCTATTTTGGAATATTCCAACAAAATTTCACAAATATAATTTGTTATATACATGTTCAAACTAACGAAAGACATTTTTACAATCGCTCTTGCTTGAATTTTTTTTAAGATATCACTTCGATATCAAATTAATGTTTGAACAAAAGTTATCGAAATTTTGACTACTTTGTGATAAATTGGTTTCCAAGTTACAAAAAACCTTTCAACGTCATTTCGAAAAGCTTTAATAGTTCTACGAACATGAAACTTTTTGAAACACAAACAGCAATTGGCTCGTAGCTTAGTTTGGCTTTGTAAATAAGCAAATTTCATTTCATTTCGCGGCCAACGTATGAAAAACTATAAATATTATTTAATTATGGGAAAAATGTTGTCAAATTTTGGACACATTCGGATTTGCATATAAAATGTCTACCTGCTACTGATTTTATTTTTTTTTTGTTCTTTTTACACAATAGAAATGGGCGTGATTTACATAAATAAACAAATGTCAATATAGGTGCCAAATGTTTGTGCAACTGAAATCGACTGACGTGGATTATTCGACTGAGCAGTTTTATGCAGTTTTCAAGCACTTTTCCATTTCTGTGAAGCATGCATATTGTCACGTGTGACGCCGTTTAAATTGTACTCCCCATTACATTTGTTGCAAAGAAAAATACAGTTGGCGCGCTCGAATTACGGAACTAGGCCAATGAGCTTGTTTGATAATCGCTTATTTAAACGATGACGTGTTCATTGTCGCCATATCGGCGTAATACATCTACCAAATTAAACGTATAGGTGACTTTTAGTCTCCATGAGTAAGAATTTTATATCGTTTTCTAAATAACAAAGAAAATCCTTCTTTATAAATAATATTAATCTTTAGATTTTATTTTCTTTTATTTTGCTAATTTTCTTTTCTTTCATTCTTAAATACAATTCGTTTTTTTTTTAATTTTTTTTTTAATTAACCTGATTAGAATTTTCTGAATGTTTCTGTGTGTGTTGGCTAGTGGTTTTTGTTGTTGATTCTCTCGATCGTATTTTGGTTGAATTTTCAATAAATTTATTGATGGAAATTAGAATTTATTTATTGCGTTAATGTTTGTTTGGAAAGATTTACCGACGCACTGAACAATATAAGAAATATATTGCTCAAATACATCCATATTGAAAAAAAAGAAGTGAATTGTTCTACAATTCTTCTTTCTTCTGTTCTTTATAGTATTTTGGTTTCAATTCTTCTATTCGGCGAATAAAGTCTGACTTCTCGAGACAAACATCGCAAGTTTCGTCCCAATCGTTGAGAATCTTCTTGAGATCGCGAACCTTGAGCTTCTTCAGATCCACTGCCTCCAAATCGATTTGTTTCTCTGCAAATTTGAAATGGGTGCGATTTAGATTTTTGTCTAAGAATTTACAAATGCTTAAAAGTGCCAAATTATTCTCGTGCTAAATTCGATTGATTACAATACAACGTATACGAGAATCCACTATTTATATTAAATATGATTGGTTGAATACATACCGAAACGTAAATCACAAACTTGAGCATCTTTTTTCTTTAGTTTTTCACAAACTTTAACTGGTGGCATCGACCAACTCAATGGTTTGGACATTTCACCTAAGATTCCGGTTGCTGATGTTTCCAAACCGCCCAAGTAGTAACACTAAAAATAAACATTTTGGTTACACTTCGTTAACTCGACTAGTTTCTTTTTAGCGTATTTTTTTTTTTTTTTGCCACATGATGATGTGGAATGATTGCTTACAAGTCTTTGTTGTTTTGATTTGGCTGTTTTACAGTATTCTCTGAATGCTTCTTCGATTTGCTTGGGATCTGATTTGATGTCATCTGACAGTGTTTCGGAGAATTCTTTAATTGTAGCTACGCAAACTGTTGAAGAAAATGACACACAACCAACAAATTAATCAAATGAATTTCAGCCGAATGTAAATCATTCGGAACGGTGGCCTACCTTCACAGTCTTCTTCTTTGAGGGCAACGCTGACACAAATCAGTGACAGCACAACAATGCCAAAAATGTATTGTTTCATCATTTTTACTAAATAATTTATTATGTTAACCTGTGAAATACAAAGTAACAAATTAATTACTTGTATGAAATACGAATGTTTTTTATCATTTTCATTGATGATTTCGATAAAAAAAAAATGGGCCGAACCGTAAGAGTCTTTATACTTACTACTTTTATTTCTTAAATGGATTCAAACGAAACGAAATGACAAATTGTCAAATGAATTTTCGTCTAACAAAAAAAAAATTGAAAATTTTATTTCACTGTTTTTTTTCTGCACACGGAACCGAACAGAACAAAAAAGAAATTAGAAAACGAAAAAGAATTTCACTCAAGCTAGTGTGCATTAAATAAGCGCGGTGTATAGTGGACACTGACGATGATGATGCTTTATATTCGATGCGTGTACAATATTAAATAGCGCTTCAATAACTCAATTTTTTTTTTTGGTCGAATAAATTGTATATATGTGTGCATTCAAAATTGACACACGTAATGCTTATTTGGCTTGAAAATGTATAGTTTGCGTTGACAATTTGGAAAACAAAACCTGGACAAATCTGATTGGGCGACACGATTTGATGTTTTATCTCGACGTTTCACACTTGCTGAAACACAATATTGTGTATATGTATGCACACCCGTTTGTATGTGTCTGATTTGTCAAAAAAATTCGAGACATATGAAGCGGCTGCTTTCGGTTGCGTTCCATTGACGGCTCGTTGAATAATGTCGAGTTTACATGAGCAATTGTTGTTTGACACTATTCTTTTTTTAAATTTAAAATAGTAAAAAAAACGTTGTGCATTTTATAAAATTCACCAAATTTTCTTTTTTTTTCACATAAATACCCGTTTATTTAGAGAAAAAATCGTTCAAAATCTAAAAAAAAATCATTAAATTTCATGCAAAAAACGATTTATTCAATTTGAATGTGGTTGGTGTTATGTAACACAAAGGCGGTTGTGTTGAGTTGATTTCGCCGCCTGACTGTGAGCTATTTACTCATACGTATGAATCAAGCGACATAAGATATTTCGTTTTGACTTGTGTGTGTAGTATCGACTTACAATGACAGACTTAACTACACTTCTGTGCGAATATGATACACAATAGGGCTTGACGGAATGGTATTGGTTTCGATGTATGTGTGTATGTGTGTGTTGCTGCTTCTGCTGCTGCTGCTGCTGCTGCTGCTGCCTATGCTGTGTGTGCTCTGTTAATATACATTTTGTCTATTTGTTCTGCTTGCTGCTGTCATGCAGGTCAGTCATAATTCATATTTCGACGAATCGCTTAGTAAATGTAGTTAGTTTGATCGTCACATTGTCATTTATTGTTATAATAAAAGAAAACCAACTTATTTATGCTTCTTTAATTTTTATTTACATTTTTGAATATTTATCAATACGATAAAAGAAACTATAACTATTTGAATAAAATGAAAATAGCAACAATCCATCGATATAATTCTAAAGATATTATAAATTGGATTTAGGAATTCGTTGCACCAATCGTTCAATTGTTTAAACAAAAAAAAGATAGAGATACACGCGATATTCGCCCCTCGACACACAAAAATGAATGTTGACAATTGAGTAAAAGACAAACAGAAATGTGAAACAGAATGTGTGCAAAGGAAATCAAGTCAAAAATCATTTGGACGAAGAATCAGTGAAGAACACGGTAAAATCAAAACCGAAAGGATTGTGTGTGTTTGTTTGAATCGCTTATATATATTTTTTTTGTTTTTGTTTGTGCTGTTAATTGTGAATGAAGTGTTTGCGAGTTTACCGGAAAGGAAAATAGAAGAAGATGTAAGTTTCATGCGATGTGTAAAATAGCACTTGAATGATGTGAATTATAAACAATGATTTTGAGCTAACTAATTGTCTCGACTGTCATACATTAAAGTCCTTTGAAGATATACAGTGATTGTGTATGCATTTGTACGAATCAAATCGAATCGCGTGGTGGTGATACAAATCGAGAACACAGCGAAAGAAATTGTTTTCCACCAAAATGCAAATTCTTTTTCCTACGATTGCACTGAGATACAGTATCATCGAAATTACTTAGTTCCGTTGGCACAAGTGAGCAAAACAAACTGAAAAAAAAGAAGCCGAACGAAGAATCCGGAAATAATTTTCATCAAAGTGTAATTATACTGTCTGCCAGTTCACAAATGCATTTAAATTTGAATGTGTTTCTCTCGTATATTTTTTTTTGTTTTTGAAAAAAGATGGTTTTACGCCATGAATAAAAGTGTATGTGAACTTCTTTTTTTCATTGAATAATCACAAAGACAAAAAAAACAAACACATTTCAATACGTACGTATGAACCTATCTATCAATTAATCCCATCGAAAATCAAGGACAAACCAACTTATTGTAAATCGCCCAAAACACTCATCATTCCATTTGTTAAGATTATTGCGCCAATTGATAGTCGCATCGTAAAACAATCATAATTTCGGTGTAAACTAATCAACTGATTACAGAAAAGAAATAACAAAGTGTGATTTAACGCATTGCGTTGCGCTCCATTGAGACAACAACATAGCGGCACAATCGAACCAAGCGAGGAAAGAGAAAGAAAACGACTTGTTTTTTTGGCTTTCGTTTTCTTGCTGCCAAGTAAACATAACAATTTTATTTACATCACCAGCATTTTTATGTATGGTGAATTCCAAGAAGCGCCAAAGCAAATGCAATTTAAGATAAAATAAAACAAACTACGATATGAAAAAAAGAGAAGAAAAACAAAATACTTAACAACAACAATACATAATCACAAGAATCAAATTGCGAGCGTGCGCTTTTTTTTGCACATCAACCGTTTTATTTTTATCAATAAACACAGATATTGGCAATAATAGAGAGAAATGTGCGCTTTTGACCCATGTAAAACATCTAAATTAAATTATTTGATAAGTAAATGATAGAAAGCGATTGAATTGATGTGCGATGTGAGAAAAAAAAACGCCAACAATGTGTGTGTGTAAAATTAATTCAAAATGACTAGATATCACTCTCGATTAAGAAGACAAAACACATATTTAGTGAGTCATTTCATATATGTGAAAAAGTCCCCAAAACGCAATTGAATAAAAAATGCAATCTTTATTGAAATGGGAAATGACTCAAATCCATTGTCGATAATCAGATATCATCGCTGACAAAAATAATACTCGTGTGTGTGTGTGTGCCTGATGAAAATGAGAGTATAGTATCACGAAGAAAAACCAAGATATAAAGACACACCGACTAAGTGACAGTCCAAGTGATACAACAGCATTGCGAATATATATATATTTTTTTGCTTTTCATTTTATTTGTATATAGATACATTGCTTATCTATTAGAACGACGCACACCGACACTGTGTGTGCCATTCATCTCTTGTTCGTTCTTTCTATCAATTCTCTTACTTTTTTCCGCACACACGAATCTGTGTCGTTATATTTCGCATATGTAACCAACAAACAAATACTCAGAACAAGAACGAATGGAATTTAAGTGAAGAAAGCTGATACTAGAACAGTAAGTGTCATTCATTAAATGGTAAAAGATATAAGATGTACTAGTGATTGTATTCAGTTTTGGGATCGGTTGATTGAGTGAGTGAATGCGGCACAAAGTCCGCAAGTACTCTAGTGAATGTGTGTAAAAGGAAATGAAACGCAAAACGATTTTTGATTCATTGGTTGTTCGCCAATTGATAACAAATGTAACGTAGATACTAAATTGAAATCGGAGATTGACCACGGCCATCAATTAACGCACATACTTTGTATTCTTATCATGGCATATATGTTTTCTTCATAATCATCATCTTCTTCTTCTTCTTCTTCTTCGCTATCGGCTTGTGTAATCTATATATTATTATCAAAACACTCACAAACTTTCGAGACTTGAGTATGGTTCGCATTTCTTCGTATTTTATTGCATATATAAATGCAATTAAATACGGATGTTTTTTTCAAATATAGCCATAAAATGAACGGCATGTTTATTTTAATATTGCATCAAATTTTGCGGAGTATTTATGAGCCCGGCCGAATAATCAAATGGTGTGAAAATGCCATGTGAAAAACACACGCTGACGACTGCTAGATATAAACCTAGAGAAAGTCTACAGGAAAAGACGGGAATTATTATGAATAGGGTGAAAGACAAGAGAAGTGAACGAACAAAGAAAAAAGAAGTGGCAACAAAGAAGTACATGCAATGCGTTTAGAAAATAAAAGTATATACTATGTCGTATTTCGTGCAATCATGTGTCTCTATCGATACCACACATTATTATTCTCACTCGAAAAACCATTTCCATTTTCCATGTGTATCCCGGTGTTTTTTTTACTCTTTTTTTCCTGAATATCATTCCGTTTGAAATTCATTGTTTCTCGCATTGTTATTTTGCCTCGTTTCCCATTTTACAGTCCCGCTTTTTGAATTGCATTTTCGATTTGAGATGATTAATGTTAATCGGTTGTCCAAGTCCGTGTATCGCATTTATTGTGCATTTATATGTGTATATGAAATGTGCTAAAAAGGGAACGAGATACAATGAGCGACACAGAAGAGAGAGAGAGAGAGAGCGAGAGAGAGCGAGAACGAGAGAAAGAGAGCAATGGATTGGTTTGGAAAACGCACAACAATGCCGAACAATGGTTCAAATATGTCTGGCGACCTCACCCAATTTTATATCTTTGCATTAAAACCCATGAGCAAGCTTACGAAACACACAACACCGCCATATATACATATAGGAGAAACGAAATAAAATAAATGAATGAAACAAAAACCATACGCAGAAAGAAATACAACGACTGAAAATGTGGAAAGTATATTATTGCTTGTACAATTTGCTTTTTCATATTTATTGTCCATAATAAATTATTAGCCGTGACTATCATTTGCTTGCCGCAAATTGTCGATTAATACGCTATATTTCGTTTATCATTGACAAACTTTTTGGAAAATTATTTCGGTAATTTTTTTTTTTTTTCATTTTTTCGTGATATTGTTGATTGTTTTTTTCTTTCGATTACACTTTAAAACAATGGTTCTAGAGATCACGAATCGATTCGAGATGTTTAACCCGTAAAAATGCATTTAACACCAATCTCTGTTTTTTTTTGTTGTTCCACGAATAAGTATTGCTCTTATTCACAATGTTCATGTTGGAAGCGATTTCTCTGCCATTCAAAGGTAAACCATCCTTTTGACTTGATCGAAGATTATGTGGATGATTCATCATATTCATGTATTGATATGGAATTATACTATATATTTTTGTGTACCTTCTTTTTCGGTTCATCTACACCATTCGTATCTGTCAGGCGATTCTCTCTTGTATGCATGGGCGCTAAGTAGCAATAGCACGCGATTTTTGTACGCTCTATTGCTATAAATTTGTTGTTGCCGCTATATTTTAGATATATACTTTGGTTATAAATATGTATGGGGCGTTTACCATGCATGTATACCAATCTCGTCATCGAACCATACGAACATTTATGTATATACCATAGTGTATGCGTGCACATGGAATGTGGTCAAACACCGTCGTCATATGAGAGAAGAAGACAGTCTTCATCCGCAATATAAAAAAAAACGAGAACGAACATGAATATATATGCATTATTCATCATTATGTGTTCATCTGATTCGCGCGCGCATTTTTGCTCATTCGCTTCCATTTCGCATACGTGAACTTTGAGCTCTGGCTGAAATTGACTCATTTTGGATTCCGTAAAACAAACACACACAAAAAAAAACGCTCGTTTGTTTACAATCAAATTCAAGATTGTTACACACAAATCGAATGATGACGAAATAAGCCATTCATCCCATCCCATATAATATCAATTAGCAACAATTCAACTGATTAAACAGTGTAAATTCCTCAAATAGCATGAATCATTCATCAATGAATCGACATTTTTGATATTCTAACCCGATTCTTTGGCGCGAGCTCTCGTAATCGCAAAAAAAAATCGCATTACAAAGTGTCGATTGTAGAATGAAAAAGCGGTGAGAAATGTTAATTCAAACATTACCCAGAATTGTATAAATATTATGAGATGAGAATGGCATTTTAAATGTAAGTAAACACACCAGAGAAAACTTTTGATCGCATGCATGAGTTTACTTTATGTTGACAAGGTGAATTGAATTCGTTCTGCTACGGTTTACTTTGCTCTCTCCCTCTCACTCTTCCACGCACACTTGTACTTACTACATATACAGTATCAATTTGTGTACAATGTCAATGCCAAAACGCATTGCACGCAAATATTTACACTTGAATTGTGCGACACACATATGAATTGTGTAGCATTCTATAAAGTTTTTAAAAAAATGGTGCTAAAAAGTAGTAAACATTTAGAGTGTTTATGAAATGTGTGCAAAAAATTTTTTCTGTTTGTTCACATAATTTCAAGAAAAATGGAACGTTTCGTTTTAACAGAAATCCGATGAAAATCAGAAATTCAATCGCATGGATGTTGTTGAACATGGTGTCATGGTGAACAGACATGTGGTCAGCAACTCACATATGCACATAGTGATGTAATCCGTTTATTTTCTTGGTCAAAACTCAATCAAGTCATAACTTATGTGGCCAAAAATAGCATGCATTTGATTAATTTATCTTCCAGATTTGAAATTGACCACCGCATTCTTCTGCACATATTGAAAACTATTAATAACCCAGCTCGGTTCAGAGAAAGAGAGTGATTTAAAGATGAACCGAAAGGTATCATTTGATAAAATTGAACTGATTTGTGCACATTTTTGAATACACTTTCC